ACGTCAATCAGCTTTGGCTAATGCAAGGGAACTAAAAAATAAGTTTAGTTTAACAAAAGTTTATGTTCGACCAGATCAAACTGAAAATGAAAGAATTGCTCTCTCTAAACTTCATGTTGAATGTAGAATTAGAAACAATGCTCTTCCAAATTCTTTTGTGGATTTGCAAGGGAGGCAACTCAATTGGGGTACAAGAGATGGTAAAAAAGGATTTTGGTCTGTGCGATCTGGCACAATTCGATGGATCGAGCGCAAAGAATAAAACACCAAATCCTAACACTTACAGTCCTCTATCTTTTATATCTAGCTATTCTTTATCTGACCTCAAATGTCTTTATCTTAATCCAACATCTTTGGATAATAAATGGGATGAATTCCAAGCTAGAATTGCGTCACTGGATTACCCACACATCGTTGCAGTCACTGAAACATGGTTCTCCGCCACATCTTCAACAAATCTTGAAAATTACACTGTATATCTTCGTAACAGGACAATTCGTGGAGGTGGCGTGGCTATTTATGTTAGAAAAGACATACATTCATTTGAATGTGAGTTCAGTGATGAACTAATTAGCGAGCAAATATGGTGTCAGATTTTAATTGGAAATGACATTTTGTTAATTGGTTGTATTTATCGCCAACCGTTCACTAAATATGAGTCTAATTTACAAATCAACAAGTCAATCAAACGTGCTAGAGCTCTAATTGATAATGGTAAATTTACAAGTGTTCTCATTGTTGGTGATTTTAATTATAGTGATATCAGATGGAGTGATTTGGGTGGCAAATGTAAAAAGGGTAAACAGTCTAGTAAAATATTTTTAAAAACTATAGATGATTGCTTCCTATCACAGTTTGTCACCAAACCAACATTTATCAATAACACACTTGACCTGGTGCTATCTGAAGACCCTGATCGTATTCATAATATTACAATTGGTCCTCCGCTTGGCTGTACTCAGAAAAACTATTTCCACAATTCACTCTTATGGGATTTTAAACTTAAAACATCGACCAAATCAATCAGACATCACAAAGTTAATTATATCTATGACAAAGGTGACTATAATGCCATAAGTGAAGGCCTAAAAGCAATCAATTGGCCGAACTTATTCACAAATAAATCAGCAGATGAATGCTTTGAATTATTTAAAAACATTTACATTTCATTGGTTGAACATCACATTCCCAAATATAATATGTCTTTTAATTTTAAAAAACGTGATCCAAAATGGTTTAATTTTACTATTAAAGCAGCAACTAATGAAAAATTTAGACTATTTATGAAATTACGCTGTTCTTCAAGCAAATTTAAAGATAGTATTCGAGTCTTGTACAACAAACAAAATCGTCTGGTGAAAAAGCTTGTTGCTGATGCTGTACTAAAGTATGAGAGTGAAGTCATTTCCGCTTGTAAGTCCTGTCCAAAAAAGTTTTATTCTTATATAAACAGCCAAAAAACTTGTAAAAGTGAAATTCGATCTCTTTTTGACCACGATGGAGTGCAATTAGTAGATAATATGTCTATTTCAAATTGCTTAAACAATCACTTTTTTAAAGCTTTTTCATTACCTGAAACTCACTCCAAAGCTCCTGATTTTCCTCGAAGAACCGAAATAGTTTGCTCACCCGTTTCTAGCTCCTTGTTCAATTGTTGCAATATTGAAAAACATTTATCTGCTCTTGACTCTTCAAAAGGCACTGGTAATGATGGAATCCATCCTAGAGTGCTAAAAATGTGCTCTAAAGAATTCAGTGTGCCTCTCTCTCTCCTGTTTATCAAATCGTTTGATTCTGGACAAGTACCGTCTGGTTGGAAACTGGCTAATATAACGCCAATATTTAAAAAGGGTCAGCGTACTGATCCTGGAAATTACAGGCCTATTTCCCTCACCTCAGCAATTGGAAAAGTAATGGAGAAAATAATGCGTGATGTCATGACTGAACACCTAGTTAAGCATAATCTATTATCTTGCCATCAACACGGTTTTGTCAAATCTAGATCGTGTGTCACAAATCTTCTTGAAGTAATGGATATTATTACCAAAGCTTTAAGTGACAACTGTGCTGCATTGCTCATTTTGTTAGATTTTGCCAAAGCTTTTGATCGTGTATCACATCTTCTGCTTTATCACAAACTGGCTGGCTATGGTTTTGGCAATAATATTCTTGCCTGGCTCAAAGACTTTCTTGAAAATAGGAAACAACGGGTTGTTCTAGGAAATTTCTCTTCCGAATGGAAGGATGTCCATAGTGGTGTACCTCAAGGATCAGTCATAGGTCCTCTTCTTTTTTTGATCTTTATTAACGACATGCCAGAATTAGTTAAAAATAATTGCAAACTCTTTGCTGATGATAGCCAGTTGGTTGCCAAAATAAAAACAGTTACGGACTTGGCTTTAGTTCAAAATGATATTGATATGATATGTAATTGGTCAAGACTTTGGTGCATGGAACTTAGCATAAATAAATGCAAGGTTCTAAAGTTCCGTGGTGGTTCCACAGACATCAATATCCCCTTGACAATGTTAGATAAAAATGGCAGTCAAATTCCTATTGAAGATGTATCCGTTGAAAGAACATTGGGTGTTCTGATACATAATAAACTGAAATGGTCAGATCAGATTAGTGATGCCACTCTCAAAGCTAATTCTATACTTGGGATACTCAAAAGAACTTTTAAAAAATGGAATCCAACTATGTTCGTGAAGCTCTATACAGCATATGTAAGACCGATATTGGAGTACTGTGCACCAATTTGGTGCCCTTTTCTTCTAAAGGACATTAAAAAGTTAGAGTCGGTCCAACGTAGAGCTACCAAACTCGTTCCACAATTTCGCAGCTTGAATTACAAGAAACGATTAGCATATCTTGGTCTCAGCTCATTAGCTGAACGTCGAACAAGAGGAGATGTAATTCAATTTTTTAAAATTTACAAAAAATTAAATATTGTTAACTGGCAACAGCAGATTAACAGAGCAAGTGCACTCCTATGTGATGGTCCTGCAGGTCATCTTCGTGGTGCCAAGCATAAAATTGATCGAGAATTATCGAAAAACTCTCAAAGACATAACTTCTTTAGAAACCGAGTGGTGTCATCATGGAACGCTTTGCCTGCTTCGGTAGTTGCTGCAAATTCAGTTGATTGTTTCAAAAACAATTATGACAAATGGAATCGTTCTATCTCACGTCGGTCTACTATAGTCGGGTCTCGTTAGACACTCGGCTCATAGAAGTCAAGCTTCTATTGTAGAATTACTATAATAATAATAATAATAATAATAATATCAAAAATATATTGATATTTTACTACTCAAATTTTATATATATATATATATATATATATATATATATATATATATATATATATATATATATATATATATATATATATATATATATATATATATATATATATGTGTGTGTGTATATATGATTTAAAGGATAACATCTTGTGTGAGAGTATATTTATATATTATTTTAAAACATCAAAAATACGATAAAATTTTTGATTTTTTGATAAAAAATCAAAAATTTTAAATCAACAACATCCTTCCGTCCAGTATACAATTGAAGTTGAAAACGAGTTAGGAACACTAAATTATCTGGATATACAAATTATGAATAAAAAAACAGAACAGTATGAATACGGAGTATATCGGAAAGATGCTATCACTAACATTCAAATTAAGCCACACTCAAATCATGATCCAAATATCTTGAACTCTATTTTTAAAGGATTTCTCCACCAAGCTTACTCAATCTGTAGTAAGTCTTACTTTCAAAATTAAATAAATTTTCTAATCGACGTGTTTATTGAAAATGGTTACGATAAGACTCAAATGATGAATATTGCGCATCAGTTTCAACACAAAAGACAAAATAAAATTACAATTCCATCTGAAATCAATAATTATCCTGTAGTTTCCTTACCATGGGTACCCGGTCTCTCGCTAAAACTTAGGAAAATATTCCGAAAAGCTGGTTACAGAGCGGTATTCAAATCAAACCCAAACTTAAGATCCCTGTTAACATCAAAAAATAAATCAAAATTACCTAATAACAGTCAACCAGGAACATATATAATCAAATTCAACTGTTCAAAAGTGTATGTAGGCGAAACAAAAATGAAAGTAAACACACGAATGCATCAACACCAAAAAAGCATTGATGAAAATAAGCAGCATCATTCTGCATTAGCTCTGCATAAAACAAAGTTTGTTCCCAAATAATTTCTTTGCAAAAAAGAAATTATTTGGGAACAAACAAAAACGTTGAAAGTAGAAAATAAAAAATTTAAAAGAAAAGTTAGGGAAGCCCTAGAAATACAAAAAAACATGTCTTCTGCAAAAAATGGCGGGATTAATCTCGATGAGGATCAATACGTAAAAACTAAGTTTTGGACGCCATTTTTTAAATTTCAGCGAAAAAGTAGCCATTCAACCGCTGACGTCAATAGTAACGTTTTAATTTAAATTATAACGGTTTACTAATTACTGTAACATTTAACAAGCTGAAGAAGCTGGTATCTAAAATCCAGCGAAAATTTCTATAATAATAAAAAAATTATAAGTGTTGAGAGGAATCGTATTTTTGATAGTTTAAAATAATATATATATATATATATATATATATATATATATATATATATATATATATATATATATATATATATATATATATATATATATATATATATACATATATATATATATATATATATATATATATATATATATATATATATATATATATATATATATATATATATATATATATATATATATATATATATATATATATATATATATATATATATATATATATATATATATATATATATATATATATAGATCCGCCCTTATCCCGGCTTTGATATATGGTATATCTTCTCCTAAAACAAAACTACTCTAAAGCTAATTTAGCTGAAAAATAGAGGAATATTTTGAAAATATTCAAAAATAAGTTCATTGTTTTTAATAAAAGTGATAATCACTGACCGTAACAATAACCCCACATGCCATCTTTATCAAAATTAGATGTCGTTGCGCACCAAAAAGAGTTACTTAGGTTTGCTGTACAGTTGTTGTAAATCTTTTGCTGATAGATAAAAGGAAAGTAACAACACGAACCGTTTGAATTTCCTCCGCGAGTAGTCATTATACACGAACCTGCAAATAAAGATTTTCTTAGATGTTTTTAAAAGTAGAAAGTAGATGCTTACCTATTAAATGTAACTTAACAAAAAAATGCTGAAAAATATTTTTAAAAAGGCATTTTTGAAATAATTTTATAATTATCTTTTTTCATTTTTGCAAACTTATGACGCATAAAAGATCTTTCTCAGGGGCTGATCATATGGAGAGAAAACATACCGCCTAACCGAGGTTCTCGGATACTTTACAAAAGTAAAAGAGTGTTTTACGAAATAAATATCTTAAATAATTTACAATTAACTAACCAAAAAAAACTTTCATCTTAAAAAACTTCAAGACATATGCTAAAATTATATAAACACAGTCAAATCTTACCCCGCCTAACCGGGATCCGATCATAGAGAGATTCATATCATAAAGAAATGATAAAATTGTATGAGTTTTAAAGAAGTTGGTAGTTTTTTTTTCTCGGTTAGTCGGGATGATTTTTATCCATGCGAACAGCCCCTTAGAAGTCATGACTTGCTGGGATATTTCTATATTGCTAAGAATTATTTTAGAAATGTAAACTTAATTAACATTAAAAAAAAAAAAAAAACTAACTGTTTTGCGGCACAGTTCCGCTTCCATTTACACTACTTCCAGACCCACTGGTCCCATTGCCACTAACTCCACTGGTACTATTTACATTACTTCCACTTCCGCTAGTTCCGTTTCCACTTGTTCCGCTTCCACTAGTTCCGCTTCCACTAGTTCCGCTTCCACTAGTTCCGCTTCCACTTGTTCCGCTTCCACTTGTTCCGCTTCCACTTGTTCCGCTTCCACTTGTTCCGCTTCCACTTGTTCCACTTCCACTTGTTCCGCTTCCACTTGTTCCGCTTCCACTTGTTCCGCTTCCACTTGTTCCACTTCCACTGGTACTATTTCCACCACTTCCACTTCCCCCACTACTCCCACTGCCATTGATACTTGCTATACACAAAAAAGCGACAACCTAAAATGTTACATTTATTGTTTTTAAGTTGCTATTAAATTATAATTCCAAGTTTTTTAATATTTAAATTAAAATTAAATTTATATAACTTCTGCTTCATCGGAAAAAAGAAGTTGCCTCAATGAAGTTAATGCGTATCACAATAAATTCTTGAAGAAAATACGCGGTGAGAAATGCAGCCATTAGCTAGCTACATATTTGTCGATATGTTTTAGCTAACGATATACCGTAGTAATATTACCGATAGCTACAAAGCTGCCGTATCTAGATAGCGACACGAAGTAATAAAATTGCAATATTATAAGTTCAATTATTATCATAAATATATTAAATCTAATACTAAAAATTAATTTATTTTAAGACGTAAAAGACAATATGAAACAACAATGCGAGAAAAAAACCACTTCATAGCTAGCTCATTTCCCTCCTGGTATGCCTTCGACATTAGAAAACCCATAATCGTTACCCATGGCTAATAATCATAAATAATTTGTGTAGTAAATTTTAAAGTGGGTTCACATGTTTTGTTACCACATATTATGTGATAATAAAATATAATAAGATATAAAAAGTATATGCAGACGTCATTAGCAATGATGATATTTTTATATTATAATTTAAAGAGATATTTATTTGAAATGTTTCATTTTTATTTAATGTTTTGACAACATGAGTCTGATGAACTTTTTATCAGAAAACCCGGCCCATAGACACAGGTTGTAAAAGTTTATTATTACGAGTTATCAGTTGAAAATATTTTTTTGTCTACTTTTCCAAATAATAAATTTATAATCCTACAACGAGTAAATTACTATATTATTACTTTGAAGTTTTTGTAATACTAATTATATAATAAATAATATAATAAAATTAAAAAAAATAAAAAAAGTAAACAAGATGAATTAGAGACAAATCATATAAATACCTGCACAATTAAATTATAAAAGTACCTGCATTATTAAATTATAAAAATACCTGTACTATTAAAAAGATTTGCTTCATTCTTTACTAAAGTTTTTCCAGTTATTTTCAAATTAATGGAAAAAGTGGAAGAAAAGAAGACTTATTAAATTTAATGAATGTTTAATTCAAATATATTTAATTAATCAACTTATTGTTAAAATTTAAATTAATTCATTATCAGTATTCATTCACTATTCAATTAACAACTACATTTACTACTATTTGAAAAAATGAAGAAATCCATTATATATGCATACATATTGTATGTATCTAGTGATATATGCATACATATTGTATTTCCTTAGCAATATATGCATACGTATTATATGTCTCTGGTTATATATGAGTTTATATAGTAGCTCTTAGTGATACATGTTGTAGTCAATAACCCTAAACTTCGCCCATAGTGCAAAATCTTTTAGTGCAAAGTCTGAAAAGTTTCTTTAGTTTATCAGGAAAATTTTATGCGCTAAGAAAAGGGCATCTTTTTTTGTGTGTTGGGGAGGGGGGGGAAGAGGGGTTAAAAAGTGTTTTGTGATTTGTAAATGAATTCTTTTTTATTTGGTTTATTGAAAAATGCATAAAGAATTAAATTCAACAAAAAAAGCCAATAGTTTTTAACAAATTAACAAAATTTTTAAAATTGTATTTTTATTGAAACTAAAAAAAAATACTTAAGTTAAAATGGGCATTACACTTAAATAAATTTAAAATGTCCGCTGTACAAAATCAGGTTCATTATCATTTGAAGCTATTTTTCTGCTTTCATCATGATTTTTTTATAGAAAGTAAATTTATATTATATGTATTACTAAAATATACTTGATTTTATTATTGCAAAATTTTTAATAGGAGATACAAATATCATCAATTGATGGTGCAAATGGCAAACTATTGAAGTAAATTTTTAACAGGAGATACAACAATTGATGGGGCAAATGACCAACTAATAAAGTGTAAACATTTTTTTTAGTCCTAGGTTGTTAAAAACTCACTACCTTTAGTTATCAGGATTATTTTTCAAATTTAATCAAAATTATAATAAAGCGCTAATTTATTTACAATTCTTTGTCTTGATCATCAATGAATATGTTTACAATTCTTTGTCTCGATCATCAATGAATATGTATAAGCAACCTCTTTTTGTACAGACCATTATTTATAACATCAGTTTGCGTTTGGACTTCTAGTTTTACTTTTATTATTAACACACTCTCATACACGCACACATACAACTAAACAATTAAAAGTAATGAATCAGTATTAATTATTAATAAAATCAGTTTGTGTTTGGACTTCCAATTCAGCTTTACTTTTATTATTAACACACTCTCATACACGCAAACACACAACTAAACCATTAAAACTAATGAATCAGTATTAATTTTCAACATGAATTTTATAAAATGTGAACCCTACATAAATATTTGTTTTGATAGCAATGTTGACCTCAACAACATAAATATTTAATTAAATTTATCAATAGGGAAGGCAATGCATTCATGATTTCAAAAATGTATCAAAATAGTTTACTGAATAAATGTTTTCATTCTGAGCTTTATGCGAACGTTATATGATAGCAAACCAACGGTGCATGGTAGCAAATTTTATACTTTATTATAACTTATAACCTATTTTTTTCCAAAGAATCTCAAATAGGTTTTAACTTTTGAAAATAAAAAACACTAGATTAGAATCATTGGTGCCACACCAGTATATTTCCTTGATCGTACCTATATGCACTTTGACCCTTATGTTTTTTTTGCTTTCTTGCCGAGTAAATATATACAATCCGTATGTTACTTACAAGATATAGATGTAGCAGGGGTGAGAAGAAGACTAATATGTCTTATCGCCAAGCCCCCTAAAGTTCCTTAAATATAAAGTTTAATTTAAAAATGAGCAACTCCCTTAACTATAAAATAAACAAACGTAAAATTGATAAAGTAATAAATAAAACATCTAATATTAAAAAAAGACATGATGCGCTATTAACTTAAACATAATCTAAACAAATAATAAAAACTCAGTATTCAGTGTCTTTGGGTTAATGGAAAAATCTTTTTAAAAAGCTTGAAAAGAATATAATATATTCTTACATTAAATCCAAAGTATTCGAGAAGATTTAGTTTGCCTAAAACTTTATGTTTTACATCCGTATATTTTTAGCCAAGCAACTGTATCTATTGCGTCATTATTATATCTGTATTTATTGCGTCATAATACAAAACATTATCTATCTGTATCTATTGCGTCATTATACAAAACATTATCTATCGACTGTATCTATTGCGTCATTATACAAAACATTTAGTAAAAAATGAAATCGAAATCTCCATCGACCACAGGAAAAAAGTTAGCTGCAAGTTAAAAAAAGAAAAAAAAAAACAGCTTACTAAACTTACTTAACGAAACGTCATTGCATAACAAAAATATTCTAAAAAATAGAAAACCGGTTTTTGTAATTTCAAAACCGGTTTTGAAATGTGTAAAATTTATTTGAAAAACCGGTTTTGAAAAACTGCCAAACTCTAACCGTGAGTATGTAAGAATTGTTTCAAGCTATTAAAATAATGACTTTAAGCCAGATAATACTTTTAAAGCGGGTATTCAAACAAGCGCAACTATATTGCGTAGCGGGTATAGTTTTTTCGAATAAACAAAAACTCATCGGTTAGGTATGCGGAAACACGCGTTTTACGAAACCGATATTTATGGTAAAATTCTGTGCCACGCTTTTTGAAGTTTGTTTTTGGACAGTGATGTAGAAACATGTTTTGTACTCTTATTTTTTAGAATTTTATATTAACATATTATTTATATTATACTTTTTAAAAACTACTATGATTATACTTTTTTAATATGTAATTTTTACTTACAATTTCAAACCTTATAAATGGATTTATTGATGGTGAAAATTTGGTTGTATTTCATGCATTCAGAAAACATTGAAGATATGCTCATTTTTTTTTCTATATTATTCATTTTTTTAAGTTTACACATTTTCTATGCACCTGAAAAATTTTATTTAAAAATTTCCGTGCCCACTATTTCTATTTTTGTCCCCACTTTTGGTACTTAAATGGCCTTTTCTGAAAATATTATCGGGAGTAAAATAAGTGCAGAGGGGCTGCGAATAAACAGTCTTTAAAACAAACAAGTATTGATTTTTCTGAACTAAATTGCTAAGTTTCCTTAAAGAATTTAAAAAAAAAATGAAATTTATAATTTATACTAAAAAGTGTCATATGTTGATTTAGAAAATGAGCTATCCAACATCAAGTTTAGAAACTAACAGTAATAGTATTAGTGTTAGTACTACTAGTAGTAGGGAGGGGGGGTCCATAATCGTCTTTTTTTAGATTTTTGATAGTTTAATCAATTTTTCTTAATTAGTTTTTTATGCTGATTTTGAAAATCATAATCATTTTTTTTCATTTTAATCATTTAGCCTTCTACTTTGATTTTAATAAAAGTGAATATATTGACAAAAAAAGGCATTGTTAAAAATAGATGAAATTATTATTATCATTAAATATAAGAAAAGTAGAAAACTAAAAATCTTTTTCTGTTTAATTTATCAATAATATACCTTATCATTTGTAAGTAACAAAAAAAATTAAGCATTATACATGAAAATAATTCATACAGTTTGTTATTTACTAATGGAAATGGAAAATAGCAATAAAAGTCATCATATGTGATAGAGATTGCTGCGTGATCTTTCCTTATAGAACATCTAGGTTATGAGCGTGTTCATTGGTAGACATAAGATGGAGGTTTGTATTTTTATATCAACAATCATGTATTTAAACAGAATAGACCTCCGCGACAATGACCTACATTGTATCCCTAAAATAAAGAATCTCATTTTTCGAACTTTTTTTTCATTTTAACATATCTTTATCTACTTCAATAATGTCTAGTTCACAGCTAAATGGGCTGTCTTGTAACTTTAATCAAGCTAAAACAGAACTCATCTTGTACACCTGATGTAAAGTTTGCTGCTTTTCTATTGTTATCTATTTGTTTTTGTAGCTGGTTTCAACTATATTCCATAGTTTCAACTTTTTGGACAAATAACTGGACAGTAATTCTCAAAAATATTTTTAAACTACGCGAACCTTCATTTTTTATATGGTTTAAATAATTAAGTATACATTTACTGTTGAAATTAAATGGGTTTTTTCCAAAGCTTTCCAACTGCAACAACTTAATTAGAAAGTTAATACTAATCATATTCCATCATCAACCAAACACATAATACTTTTCTCTTTTTTGAAGTCCTGAGGCTAACTTTTGCCAAAATACTCTAGCAAGAATGATACAATCACTCAACCTCTTTGAGGAATACTTATTAACTGCTTTTAGAATTTTTTTTTAACTAGCTATTCACTACGTTTCAGAGTAAAGCAGAAAATTTCAAAATTTGATCACCCAGTTTGTTTTTTATAAAGCTTTTTAGGTAGCGGTGTTCCTTTATACTGACTGTTTATCTTTAGAATTGTTAAAACTTTAGAATTTAACTGAACTTCTACTGACTGGCACTTTAAAGAAGATTTATTCTTGACTTCATTAAAGAAAAGTGGAAAAAAAATGAAATCTTGAATAGCCTTCTTGATAGCTTGAATAAAGATTAAAAATAAATAAAAAAAAGGAAATTAAGATTTTTTGAAACAATCTGTCTTTTTGATTACTTAAAACGTTTTTTTTAAAAAAAGGCTTGAGATAAAACTTTTTTTTTGAAGCAATCTGTCGTTTTACTTATTTAAAACTTTTTTTTAGAAAAAAATTTCAGATTAAACTTTTTTTTTTCTAAAACGCAACGATTAAAAATCAAATTCATCCAATCAAAATGTGAATAGCATAAATTTGAAAGAAAAGTTGCATAACTTTATACGAAAAGAAACTTTTGCAAAGACTTTTATTTTTTATATCTTTTAAATTTTAAAAATAGAAGTAGAAGGTCAACCATAAAAAATTAGAAAAAACTGAATTGTTTTTTAAACTTTTGTCAAAAAATTAATTAAGAATAACTGGTTAAACAAGAAATATAGAAT